AACCGAAACGAAACGCAGCGAGACGAAGAGAAGAGAAAGAAAAAGAAAAGCCAGAAAATAAGCAAAAGAAATGAAATGAAACGAAGCGCAACCCAGCAACAGATGGCGCCAGCGAGCAGCTGTGTCCGGGGCGGAAATCTTTAAGGTCTGCAGCCTGAACGGACTGAGCAATGCAAACCGGAAGTGCCCCAAAATAAAGGTTAGCACACAAGAAAAAACAAGAGAAAAATAAAAACAGCCAAAACTAAAAACAAAACACAAAGCTGAGGCGAAATGTAAAATGAAAATACATTGAGCGGAAAATGCAGAGTTTTATGATTCCGCTAACAGAAATAAGAACCTAATTGGAACGATGAGCAGAAGGTGGGGAGAAGTCAAACTAATAAGAAAAATAAATACAAATAAAAAAAGAATTGTTAAATATGCTGAGCAATTTACCAATAAGCCTTGTAAGAGAGGAGTTTTTTGGAAATAATTTGAAAAAAAATAAACACAATTTTGATGAATAGGCAGCTCTGGCAATTTTCGCATTTGGTATTAGAAATTGCCTGAAATTTGCGAATTTGCTCAAACATTTCGCATAATCTATATATTTTTACTCAAGTTAAGTCTTTTCAACTCTGCTCCGTAGCCAATTTCTGGCCTTAAGTTCATTCTATGCCACAAAGCATCAGATTTCAGAGTTTGCGAATTGATGATTATGAAAACTTCAGCATAGAGGCCCAAAATTTCTTTTGTGCAAAAAAACAACCCAAAATTCCAACTCAAAGTGTTTGCTCCTTCAAAAGGAGCTCGGGATCATCAGAAATGCCTATTTGTTCGAAAATCTAAATAGAAGTCCACAAAAAACTGAAAAATGCATTTTAATCCGAATTTTCTAACTAGCCGAGCTCTGCACGCAACTGCGCAAGCAGGTTACTGGTTCGAATCCACGTACATGTTAAGGCCGAAGGTCAGCGCTATTTAAAACTTATTTAAAACTCTGCAAAACATACGTAAGAGAAATATAAATGATCGAGCCAGCAAAATAAATTTTGAATTAATTATAAAACCTATAATAAAATTATAATAAAAATATTTGGTGCTCTTGACAGAAAAATTTGCAGCTGGTTTCAATGTAAAAATCTCAACCAAAAATAATTAAACTATTTCAATTTCTCTCATACCTTAAAACGAACAAATTGCCATTTAAGAACATTCAAAAAATGCATTATAAATACTTCGTCCGTCGGATATTACGAGTTCTATTTGAGTGGAAGTTTCTAGAACTGCGAAGCTTAACAAACACATAAAAAAAAACCCCCCACTTCGGATATTTATCAGCTATAATTTCAACTATTAACATCTTCTTCACTTTATAGTTTAAAGAGAAGTCAAGGAAACACACAAAATCACATAACCTGAAAATTGTTTTAGAAAATTTCAAGAGAAAACACTCGCAGCAACGAGAAGTTTACAAATTCTAACTCAAGGTCAAAACCGAAAGGTCCATAAAAAAAAACAATGTAATTAACAAAATCTTGGAAAAAAAAAAAAGAAGAACCCGCTCATAATTGCACAAATTTGTACAATCTATGCTCAACTTGCGTGAAACACGACAAACCTGAAAATTACAGTATTTTTGTAAGCCACCAAAAACCGTTTAAATAAATAAGATTCATTACGTTTTTGTCATCAATTTTTGATCTCTTCTGCATTTGTATACACTGTCAACACACCCACACGCACACACACATGCACATTTTACAACACTGACCTTCAACTTTGGAAAACCTTTAAAGCGTGAGAAGAAGAAAAAAAAACACACACACAACTTCAACTGGGCACACACTCCGTTATTTAAAACACCCGAAAAAAAAACGCAGCTTAAAAAACACTCGAAAATGTTGCAGCTGAAAATATTGAAGTGAAAGAATTGAGTTAAAGATTTGCATTTACCTTTGGCTTTCTTTACGCGGTTCTTCGCAGCAACTGCAGTTGCTTTCTTTGCACTTTTGTCTATCTCTTTCGCACACTTTTTGTCAACAGCCAAAAAAATAAATAAATGGAATACAACAAAACGCGTTTGTTGTGTTTTTCAACTTTTAGTATATTTATTCTTCTTAAATTTTCTGAATTTTCCTCATTTACTTTGGGCACCAACAAAAAAAGACAATAAAAAAAAGGTGTGCAAAGAATTTTGCTTTCAGAGTTTTAAATGGCAAAATTTTTGCGCGCGCCTTTCCAAAAATTTGAACACAATTCTTCGAAGCAAGCGATTTTATTAGCAGACTAGAGTGTCCTCTCGCTCGCACACATTCAAACTCAATGGTAATCAAAGTGTCGCATGCACGACTCATGAAACAGACTCGAAATCGAACTCAATGTTCCAATCGCAATCGCAATCGAACGGTGCTTTCTGTTTGTGTGAGTATTGAGCGTTTTGATTGGCTGACTCCAAGAACTACAACAACGCAATGTTATCCGCTCGGAGGCTGAACGCCTACTGGATGTTAAACGCGCGCCGAAAGCTGTCGCAGAGTGCGATGTTGTCCGCCACGCAACGCGTTGGCGTCGCCAGCGACGCCGGCAGTGGCAGCGGCAGCGGCAGCGTTAGCGAACGCCAGCCGAAGTACAAATGCTGAGCACGTCGTGTGCGTCGCTGCGACTGCGGCTGTCGTTGCCGTTACCGTTACCATTGCCGCTGCCGCTGCCGCTGCTGCTGCTGCCGCTGCTGCGCTTTTTAATTGCATTTCAGCTGGCAAAAGCGCAGCAGCTTTTGGTCTGCTGCTGTCTGCGCTTCATAAAATATTTTGCCTCTGAATAATTTAATGCAAATATAACGCAGTCTACACAACGCACACACACGCATACACACGTATGTAAATACGTACATGGCGCCTAAAAACTCTACACAGCACGCATAGCACGACCTTCTGCTTCAGGTGGGCGCTCTCCAATGCTTGGAAACATTCTGCCAATCGGCCGACGCGTCGCCACTCGTGCGGCACTTTCCAGTCTCATGTGCTAACAAGTGGGGAGCAACAGTTGAAATGAGTGAAACTTTTTTGGCAGCGACGTCAGCTGCGCCGTTCGCTTCATGTGTTGCGCGTCTGTATTACACCTGCTATGTGGCAGCAGCGACACTGCGCAGCGCGAATGTTCTATATGTGTACGTGTGTGTGTATGTGTGTGTGTGTGTGTGTGTGTGTTTGTGAGTGAGTGTGTGCCTTTCAGCCATCATTCGCACTGTTGCTCTAGCATGCGTAAGCGTGTGTGCGTGTGCGTGTGTGCGTGCGTCCGCTAAGCAGCAACTAATTTTTGTTAATCACACCTTTACGATTTGAACTTGACACCGTTCTCGATGTTGTTGTTTTTGTTGCCTGGATCGGCCTGCATGCATTTACCATCAATTTTCGGCTAAGCAAATAGGCAAATGTGGTTGATGTGGTGATGTCGAGTGTGGGTGTGTGTGTGTGTCTGTGCGTATGTCACTTAATTACAATTCGCTGCAAGTTTAGTGGCAGCTGCCACAACGTCAACTGCAGACGACAGCAGCATCTTTATATGCGCGCACGCACACACACACACACACACACACTTCGCAGCTAGCAGCGCTGCGTGTCGCTTTTTAATGAGCTGCCAGGCGAAAAAAAGTAGCGGAAAGCAAATCGCGAACATTTTTAAGCAGGCGCATAAATCACGTTTAACAACACTATTTGCATATGGACGTATGCGAATTTTGACATATTTAATAGATATTTTCTAATGTTAAAAAAACATTGAAAAAATGTAAAAAAAAAAACAAAATAAATGCATCTGCAATTTTCACAAGCATTGTCACATGTTTTTCATGCGCCTTTCAGAAAATCACACCGCAACAATTTTAAGCACTCGCATAAATCACGTTTAACAGCACTATTGTGGATATGAACGCTATCTTGGACATTTTAAATAGAGATCTCCTACTGGTTTTATTTAAAAAAAAATTGGAAAAAAAATTAATTGCAGCTACAAGTTACAGCAAAGCACAAGCTTTGTCACATGTTTTTCACTTAGGTCACTCGCATAAATCTTGTTTAACAACACTATTTGCATATGAGTACAGTCTTGCTTGCCCGAGTTTAACTAATTGGGAATTTTAGTATATTTTATTTTGAAAAAAAATTGTAAAAAAATTAATAATTGCAATTGCAATTTTTATAAGCTTTGTCACATATGTTTCTACGCTTTTCGTAATATCACACCGCGACACACTACTATTAATTACGTTAAACAGCACTATTTGAATATGAATATATGACAATTTTGAACATATTTATTTTGTAAAAAATATTGAAAAAAATGTAATTGCGACTGTGATTTCCACACGCGTTCCACGTATTTTTCACTTTTAATCACTTGCAAAAATCTCGTTTAACAACACTATTTGGATATGAGCACAGTATTACCTGCCCAAATTTAATCGGATTTACTTTGTAAAAAAAAGTGTAAAAAAAATTATTTCAGCTGCAATTGCCATCAACTTTTTTTAAAGCAATCGCATTAGTCACGCTACACAACACTTATTTAAGCTAATTGGAAATTTTAGCATATTATATTGAAAATTTTTGTACAAGCAAATAGGTTTGTCGTTTTTGAAGCAAAGCGCATAAAAATGAAAAATATTTGAAACAGAGCACAAGCAACGGTAATTCCTTTTGATATTTGAATTTATGCGCATCCTTTGTTTACTTAAGCAAAAATTGCACTTTGTCAGGAGCATGGCAACAAGCGCAACAAAAGAAACTGTTGCACTTTATTGTCAGTGCCAAGTTCTTAAAAAACAATCAACAAAAAAATGCAGCGAAATAAAACTGACAAAAACTGCACTAAATCGACTAACAAATGTTTTTGTCTGCTGTCAGAATCTGCGCTCCAATTGCTTTTCCAATTAAAAGGCAAAATCTGAAAGCTCCACAGAAAAATAAATAAATTTCTTTAATTAAATTTGTTCGATATACTTTTTTGAAGAAAGAAAGAAAAAATTATAATAAGTTTCCCGCTGAACCAAAAACTGTTAACAAATAATCGGAAAAATACAAAACGTTCGGGACTGAGAGATACCCTGTAGATCTGGAAAAAAAATGATAATGAACTTTAAAATGTGCACCGACTATAAGTACACTATACTCGCCTTTAATCCAAATCTAAAAGTGATATCATACAAATTATGGTATATCTGGTAAACTCTAGAAGTCATCGAAGCCGACTTTTGCTTTTGATTTTTCAAAAGTCGAGCTTGATAAATACATGGTTAAATAATAGATTCAATACACCGCAGTCTATGCGAATTTGACACATTTGTCGCCTGTGCCTGTGCATGATATGAACTAATCAACAAAGTGTTTTCTTAACGGTTAGCCGCATGATAAGACATCAGCAAACCGACAGCCATGCCCCAAACGCCCCCGGCCAGCTGAGAGGTGCCACCCCCTCCGCCTCCGCCTCCGCCCTGCCCATCCGCAGCGTACTCATCAAAGTAGTTGCCATAGATGGCAAAGGTCAGCAGCTGCGAGTGCGCCTTTTTCAGCACCAGCTGCACCTGGGTTGCGCGCTCGCCGCGCCACGCCCCCTCAGCATCGGAGCGCGTGTACCAGTCGATTTCGGTGGCCTGCAGGGCATAAAGCGCGGCGCTCAGCGTGCTGGGCATGAGCAGGCGTCGCGGCCGTTGCACGAATTCGCCGGTAACTCGCAGCCGTCTGAAGAGCACAGCTGCTCCGGGCTGTGGGCTCGCCTCCGCTGGCTGCTCGGCCAGCAGGCCGCAGCTGAGGACGCTGTCGTTGCGGCAGGCAAATAGGCCGCACAGCCGGACCACCGTGTATTCCTCCTCCTCGTAACGCCGCTGGCCGACAAAGACGCCGAGGCGATAGTTGTACGCGGTGCGGGCCGCTGGCGCTTCCATTTGCAGCTCAAAGTCGCAGCACAGATCCGCCTGGCAGAGGCGCTGCTGCTGCAGGCTGCCATTGAGCAGCGGCACCTGCCAGCTATTGAACTCCTCCAGCTGCGGCTGCTGCAGCATCTCCAATTTGAGCTGCGCCGGACCCACGCGCTCCGCATCCAGCTCGATGGCGCTGCCCTCCAGCAGCGGCCAACGTGGCACGCGGGCCAGCAACAGCTGACGCTCGCCGACGGCTGTGTCGCCCACCATGCGCCGGACGAGAGCGCCGCGACGACCCGCATAGATGCCGCTGCCGGTGATGCCGCCGTGGGGCAGACTGGCGCCGGCTGCCAACAGATTCACATTGTTCGCCCAGGCCCAGCCCTGCTGGAACTGGCTGGCTGCAAGTGAGAAGAGAGAAATTTTATATGAGTTGTGATTCGTAGCTGATTGGGTTACAAGGAACTTACAATAAAGATATACGGAAGTTAAAAGATAAGAAAAGATATGCGAGCTTACAAGAAAGATTCATCATGCTTACAAATGAGTCACAAGAAGTTCAGAAGGAACTTGAAAGGCAGATAGAAAGAACTTATTAAGAAGATGCTGCGCACTTACAAGCAAGCAACAACTAAGTTACAAGCAAGACACAAGAAACTTACAAGGAAGTCCCAAGGAAGCTAGAAGGCAAATAGAATCAACCTTAAAAGAAGTCACGAGGAAGTTACAAAGAAAATGCAAGGCACTTACAAGCAAGTTACAATTACGTTACAGGGAAGATACAAAAAAGCTTTAAGGACGTCACTAAGAACTTACAGGGCAGATAGAATTAATCTTAAAAGCAGCTACGTGGATGTTACAAGGAAGATGCAATGTACATACAAGCAAGTTACAATTACGTTACAAGGAAGATACAAAAAAGCTTTAAGGAAGTCAACAGGAACTAGCAAGGCAAACGCAAGTCACTTACAAGCTAGTTACAATTAAGTTGCAATTAAGACAAAAGAAACTTAAAAAGAACTTAAGAGATGAAACTAATAAGAAACTTACAAGGAAGATACAAGAAAGTTAAACACGGTTTGCAAGGAAATCAGATAAACACAACGTAAACAATCTTATTAAATGTTCACTAATATAAAATAAAAGCTGATAAAATAAAAAAAATTCGTCTTACGTATGAAAAAATACTGCAAATACAATACAATCAGATATTTTGGTATTCTACACAATTTTACTTTGGTCGCATAATAAAAAAGATCTTTATGCAAATAATGAAATATACTTAGTAGTTTTTTCTCAACTTATATAACAGCAAAGAGTTCCTTTTGTTACATTATATACTGTAAAAATACTGTAAGCACAATGCGTTGTTTGTATTTGTCGTGGTGTTCGTATTTTAAAAATAAAATTGTTATTAAACAAAAATACTGTAAATTAATGCAAATGCATTTATTGATTCTGCACAGAAATGTCTGTATACAGAAAATACCAAAGTACAGTATTTTTATAATATTTATTTTCTAAGTGGTAAACAGGCATACAATTACAATAATTCAGAATAATTCAACCAGTTTGAAAATGGACTATTTTAGTATTTTGAAATACTGCAATTTGGTATATCTAGTATTTTCAGTATTTTTTGTTCAAATAGTCAATGATAGAAAAGTTCTCTAAGTAATCAATACGAAATGTTTAGTTTTAAGAATTTTCTATCGTAATTGAATAGTTACTAATTAATTAATTAATTAAAATATAAAAAATAGTTATATTAGCTATATTTAATTTAATTTAATGCTTGGTTTTTTGACATGCAATATTTAATAAACGATATATTACTTTAATAGATTGACTATTTAGCAACTGATATATATTTGTAAATAGTTCACAAGCGAGTCGAAAAAATACTGCTTCTTTACGTATTATTATTTGTTATAAGGGGTATACGAAACTTTTTATTATTCACTTAAGATCACAAAAGTTAAGTGTGAAAACCGGGAAGTGGGAAAAGATATAAACAGTTTATAGTGGAATAATCCTAAGCGAGTTAGTTTCTCTGTTATCAAGGCCCATGTTTATAAAGTGCACACGTCTAGACGCAATTCAGTGTAATTGATACCCTGTACCTATAGAAAAGTGTGCAATAGGGTAGCATGAACTTCACTCAAGAAAAGTTGTATTGTTAAAATTATAGTAAAAAGCCATTAAGAGCAATATTTTCATAATTTTAGAAAATATTTTCTTAATATTTATGTTTTTAGCGACATTATTTTTAAATTTTAAATAAACAAGAAAACTTTTGAAAATTTAGAAAAAGTTTTTGAAATTTAGGGAATATATTTTTTTGAGTGTAAATTTTTTTTTTTTGAAAGAACAAAAAGAAGTATCATATATAACTATTATAGATGAGCAATAATAGTTGCAGAGCGAACGCAGGTAGTGCAATGATGAAATTAACTATGAGACATATATACCCTATACGAAATTAATATGTGGTATGAAATAGAATTGAATAGAATATAATGTGATAGAGCATAGTATAAAATATAATATATATGTTATATACAAGAGTTTTCATCTAACTACAGGGTATTTCTTAGGCGACCACTAAGCAAAGATTTCTCTTTGCCTACTGATATGCACTCACCCGTTAGAAAGGGTAGCTCCGACTTGAACATATTGCTGACAATCAAATGCTGTAGATCGTAGCGCTCGACCAGCTCCTGGGCGGGCGTATAGAAGAGCATATCGAAGCATATGAAATGGCCGAAGGTCACATTGAAGTCCGTCTCGAAGATGGCGTATTCGGGCGCCCGGGTGCGATTCAGCTGCGGCTCCAGATACAAATTCCATTTGCGATAACGCGACACCACCGCCCCACTGCGATCCAGCACCACATTCGTATTGTACAGACGATAGCCGCGCGCGGGGCACTCGTCGTCCGGCGCACAGCTCTCCCGCTCCTTGACATTGACCACCAGATAGCTTTGGGCGACAAGAGCGGCGCAGGCCAGTTGCCGGAGGAAGTCGTGCACCTCATATCCGGTCGTTATGTGGCACAGTGAGCGACGCGAGGGCGCCGGCACCGCCGTCAACTGCAGCTGGCTGTTCAGTGTGCCCTCGGGAAAAATGAGTATATCGGCTGTGCCATTGGCCGCCTCAATCAGCTCCAGATAGGCGGACAGATTCTCCTGCAGCAGCTGCTCCGAACTGCCGCCGGTCAGCGCCGGACGGAATTCCGCCACGCCCGCCGTGTAATACTCGTCGCTGGCTGCCCCACAGCTGGCCAGCGAGAGGCACAGCAAATGGAGGAGCGACCACAACTTGCCACACATGATGCGCCCGTCAGACTGTGCCATCGGGGCTTCACTCTCCCTGCCTCACAACACTCTCCCACTGTCTCCCACTCTCTCACTCTCACCCTCTCTCTCTCTCTGTCTTTGTCAATATTTCTATCTAATCTCTCATATCTGTCAGCCGCCGTCTTTTCTTATCATCTCTTGATTTTGCTTTACAAAGCAACTCTGCCTCATCTGGAGAATGCATACTTTTAGGCATATTTTTCATACTAATATTCATTCTTCCATTCTTCCATGTTTGCAACCGTTTTTCGCGAATTTTCCACACTTTTCGGTGGAGTTTTTATAAATTCCATTTAAGCGAGCACTTACATCACATTGGGTAAGTACAATACAAATTAAGCCCTTTCGGTATGAACTGTGTATTAATCACACAAATCAGTCAGATCATCATTCAGACAGTGTGTTGTCCAGCCAGTCAGTAAATCAATCAATCAATCAGACACTCAGTTAGTCAATCATGTCAGTCAGTCAGTCAGTCAGTCAGTTAGCTGGCAGGTCAGTCAATCAGTAAGTCAGTTGCTTAGCTATGCAGTCAGTCATTTATCTACGCAGACAGTAACACATTCAATCATTCATTCAATCATTCAATCAATGTGTCAACTGACTGGACTAGCTAGATAACTACCTAGGAATAACTAACTAATTGAATATCTGTGGGTCACTCAGTCACTCATTCAGTCAATCAGTCACTTACTTAATCAGTCATTCAGTCAATCATTCAGACAGTTAGTCAGTCAATCATTATCTCATTTGGTCAGTCAGTAGTCAGCTACTTAGTTTTTCAATCCATCAATCGCACAGTCTTTTATTTACTTAGTCAATCACTCAGTCCATCAATCAGTCATTTTTAGTCATTTAGTTAGTCAGTCAGTCAATCATTCAGTCAGTCATTGAATCATATAATCATATTACTAGAACACAAAGTTTTCTGTAAAAAGATTTGTTGGTATTACCCGAGCGAGGCCTTATTCAGAAAATTCAAATTGATTCCGTGAGTCGGGTCGCAATTTATTAAAATCAATTCGAAAACAGAGAAATTTCACAAAAAAGTTGTCTACAATGTTTTTCACACTAAAAGTTCCAAATTTATAAAACTAAGCTTTCTTGAAGCCAGTTAATGAGCCAATAAGTATAAACACAAATATATATGTGTATGTTGAGTATATGTTAAATGGATCAATTCATAGTTGAACCTAGTATTTTGGATAATTTAATATTTTGAATAATTTATGTCATTCTAACAAGCAATGTATTTTTAAGCAACAACATCAATAAGGACCAATTGTAGATCCATACTCTTCTCCATCTGGAATGAGTATTATTTTTTTTTTGATATTTTTATCTGCCTTAATTTCCTAAGTAGGACTCCGGGCAATTTTAGCCACGGTCCAATCAATACACCAATATAATATTTACTTTTGAAAGTTTCAATTTAGTTTTGTCCATGGCATAAACTTCTTCCCTCCAACAATGCTCCATGGTTCAATAAAAATTGGAATGGACTGCTTAACTGCCATTCCCAATGCCGGGAGCACGTACCATATATAGCCAAGGGAGCGCAAACCTGCGGCACCATCACCAGTGGCCAAAAAGCCGCATTCGCGATCCTGTTCCGGGGTCCCCTTGCCAAAGGTGCAAATATCATCATAGTAATTCCCATAGATGGCAAAGGTCAGCAGATTGGAAAGCTGCACGGAGTCAGTCAGGCCGAAACGCACACTAATCTGATTGCTGAAAGAATGTAGGATTCCAAATAAAGGAATTCAGACGTGGGATGCCACCAAATATTTGGGAATTCAGATATAGGATTTCAAACGTAGACGTAAAGCAGGAGGAATCTAATTGTAGGATTTCAAATGTAGGATTCCTTTCAGAGAATTCATGGGTCAGACGTGGGATTGTAAGACGGAGAGTTTTCAACGTAAGATTACAAAGGAAGAAAGATCTGATGCTGGATTCCGATTGTAGGAATTCTGATGTCGGATTCCAAATAGGGGAAATTTAGGTGTAAGATCTTGAATGTAGGTATTAGGACGTTGGATTCCATTTGTAGGATTTATAATAGTAGCTCAGGCGTATGACTGAAAAATGGAGGGCCTCCAGCGTAGGATCCCAAAGGAAGGAAGATCAGATGCTGGATTCGAATTGCAGGAATTCTGATGTGCGTTTCCAATTAGAGGAAAATTAGGTGTAGGATCTTGAATGTAGGTATTAGGACGTTGGATTCCATTTGTAGGATTTATAATATAGTGGCTTCCAAGTGAAGGCATTCAGCTTTAGGATTCGAAGCGTAGGAATAATAAGTATGATTTCAATTATAAGAATACAGAATACAGAATAAGAACTCAGACGTTGAATTTGAAATGTTGGAATTCCCAGTGGAAAAGTAGGATGTCAATTGAAGGAATTAAAATTCTATTTGCTGGAATTCAAACTCGCAATTCCATTTAAGGAAAGTTTACATTTTAGAAATCTGAGCAGGATTCCAAATATAGAATATGTATAAGGATTGCATAAGTAGGAATTCAGACTTTTGTTGTAGGATTTCTATCATAGGATTTATAGGGTCGAAGTTCGAATGTAGGATTTGTTTTGCATACTCACGTTATGCGCCTCTCCACCATTGACCACTTGAACTGAGGCGGCTCCAGGGGCAACATGTCTTCGAGGACACTGTTCGGCATCAAAAGGAACTCGCGCGACCTAGGATACTTGGCTTCAATGATCAGGCGGATAAAGTTGACACGTGATTGCTTCGTGTCCAGCACCTGGCCACAGTCCTCAATGTTGGGGCCGCTGCAGGCAAAGATGGCGCAGTTGCGCACATAGTTGGCATCCACCTGCTGCTCATTGCGCCAGCCATCGTAGGCGCCCAGCCGAAAGCCGTAAAAATTGTTGGCGGCCGGTCTCTCTGGCAATTGGCGCCACTCCAGCTCGAAATTGCAACACAACTTGCCGTGGCACACCTCCTGCTTCAGATTGCCCTCAGACTGTTGATACAGCTGCTCCAACCAGACGCTCTCGTATTGCTCCAGGTAATCCCGTTTAATCTGAATGCCTGAATCGCGTCCACGGCGCGTCTTCTGCTCCAACCTTGCCTTCAAGGAACGTTGCGGACGCTGTGCCTTTGTAGTCCTTGCACTCTGGTATTTGGGCACCTTGGCCACATAGATGCGACGCTCGCCTTCGCCCCACTTCATTACGCTGGTGATGGTGCCCGCGCGTCCATTATAGATGCCAGTTCCGGTGCTGCCGTATTCCGGGTGACTAGCGCCCGCGGCCAATAGATTCACATCGTTGCTATAGGCCCAGCCCAGCTGCACTTGGGCGGCTGTGTGGTTAGGATAAGGAGAATAAGATAGGACCAGATAGAAATAGAGATAGAAAAGGAGATGGACATTGAGGTGGCGATGGATATAATGATTGAAATAATAATGGACATACAAATACAAATAATGATAGAAATATTGTTGGATATGGAGATAAAGATCAAAATAGATATTCGAATAGGGATAGTAATACAGATAGAGACAGAAATAGAGATGCTGATAGTAATATAATCAGGTATAGAAATAGAAAAAGAAATAGAGATATACAAAGTGATAGAGGTACAAATAAATATAATAAAAGAAAGAGAAATAGAGATAAAGATAGAGATAGAGATAGAAATAGAGAGTGAGGCAGATAGAGAGAGATTCCGAGAATGAGTTAGTGAGTGAGAGAAGAGTGAGATAGAAAGAGACTAAAAGCACACTGTTAGATAATGTGAAATGTGATGATGAACTCGTTTTGAACCAGTTTTGAACCTGATTTGAAGCTGATTTGAACCTGTTTTTCTCTGCTCTGAACCGGAACAAAGTTAATGTTACAATTTGTTAACCCTAGGAATAAGTTCTCCTGTAAGGTTGAATTAATTTGAGCTAAACTACTTAAAAAACAAAAAGTATATCCTCTTTGAACCGGTTCAGCATAAGAGATTGTCTTGACAGCGCCTGCATCAAGTTCACAGCCCAAGGAGGCAGCTCATTTAGGTTCCGGTATATATGTATGTATAGCAATATTTTTGATGCTTCCAATAAGTCAATTAGATACTTAACCAAGCACGGAAACCACGTTCAAAGCTCTTTCAAAGCGGTTCACAAGATTAAAATCTGAATACCGTTTAATGAACCTTAAGCATATTGGGTGAAAGCCGAGGACTCACCTGTGAGAAAAGGGAGCTGGGAGAACCACATGGTGGGATAAATAAAGTCGCGAACGCCTTGTTTCAGTAGCATCTCATGGGCGGGCTCATAGAACAGGATGTCAAAGCAAATGAAATGGCCAAAGGTCACATTGAAGTCCGTCTTGAAGCTCTGCGGCTCCGGCACAAAGGTGCTGTTCCTCGGTTCGCCATACAGATGGATCTTGCGATATCTGGAGACAACAGCGCCTTTGCGATCAAAGACCACGTTCGTATTGAAGATATTGATTCCAGTTGGGGCGCACGGACGGGTATCCTCCGGAGTAGCGGAGCACAATTGCCGCTCACAGATATTGATGACAATGTACTTGCTGGTCTTGCGGGCGGCACATGAGATGCTCACCAGAAACGGGGCAAAGTAACTGGAACCGGGATCGTCCACACATGGCGACAGCGCCTGCTCGGGCTTCGGCACAAAGCTGAGCGTGTCCATGCCATTCAATGTTAGTTCCGGAAAGATAATTATGTCCGTAGGTTTGGCATCGGGGGATTCGATCAGCTCCAAATAGCCGGCCAAGTTATCCGCCAAATTCTCATTCGCATCCTGGCCAATGGCCTGACGAAACTCCACAACGCCGGCCGTATAGAAACTCACTTCCCGCAGCTCAGTAAGGCTTGTCTGCAAATAAGAAAGCGATTAGCCAAATTATCTCGGCCAAAGCGTAGCCGCCGCAAGCCCACCTGCTGACTCATCCCAATGCCGGCCAACAGCAGCAGCAGCAGCGGCAGCGGCAGCAGCAGCGCGGGCAACTGCTGCTGCTGCTGCTGCCGCCGCAGACTGTTATCACATGCAACATTGTTGGCCATTTTCGATTTGCTGTCCCTGTCTGCCTGTTGCTGCCTCGCGCCGCGCCAACCTTCAAGTGCGGCACGGGCAGCGCTTCGGCAAGGCTTTTATAATGCCGGCAGTAGCAATACCCAAAACCCAAAATCATTAATCTAATCAGCGCTTATTTTTATACCCTCAACCCATTGAAAACGGAAGACAAAGAGCATTATGTTGGTAACAGACGGAGGCGGATGGTATATATATATCTTTATATATATTTGATCGGATTATATATGCTTGATCGGGTTAAAGAACCTAGTTAAGACCAGATTTTCGATATCTCTTGCCATAAAATCGATATATATCGATTTTGAGAATTGATTTCTTAGGCCCAACTCGAAGATTATAGGCGCTAGATACACCAAACTTGGAATATATCATTTTGTATGATATACACAGATTACAATGAACTCACTTTTCTGATGCCTTCACCCGTTCTACCTAAAAGGGTAAACAAAAACAAAATTATTAAAGATAGAGCTTTGTGCCTTGATATGTACACACTTTTGTATGCCTTATTTAATACCTGAAAGTCTTATAAAGATCGCACTGTAAACACCGGAGTTAATCAAGGATGCGTTGTCCAAACTTGCTATTGGGCAGCGGGAAGAAGAAGCGCAGACTGCGGCATATGGAGACTAGCATGTCTCCTAGCAACAGCAGCTTCGCCTTGTTTTCGTCAGGGTATCTCCTAGTCGGTCATAAAGCATTCGTAAATGTTGTTTTTTGCGCGCGCAACGACAATGTTTCAAACTGACCGCTGACCCCAGCACCGTGGTTCACAAACGTATGCATACAATGCAAAAAAAGGGTTTTGCAGAAAGTGCATCTATTTGCAGAGTTCGAAGGTTTCGAACTGCTCAAGAACAGCTCAAGGAACCCTGGGTTATTTCTTGAATGTTTAAAGGTTTCCTTTTTAATTTTTTAAAGTTAATTTGAGAGTTAAAGTTAAAGATCGTGAACAATCCGAAGAAGTCCGTACTTTTCAACCAATGAAAGATCAAAAATTCCATACCCAGGCCATTTCGCACTTAACTCTCTACCATTTACGCCGAGTGAAAGTCAATATTATGCCACTGTGCAGCGTCTTCAATTCGCAAGATTATTTGCAATTACTGGACACTTTATGGAAAATCAGTCGATGATATTTATTTCGGGGGACTTTGAGTTATATATCCGAGTTTCATGCCTATGCCGAATGCCTGAATTGTTAACTCAGCGTATTTGCGGCTTGTACATTGGACAACAGACCCAAACAATATATTTAACAAAAAACGATTTCAATTGTTGTGCACACGTTTTTTGATAGCCAACCGGCCACCGTCAATCATCCGATATAATGTGCGATTTACGATCATTACGGTCACAAATACTTTCCCTTATCAAGGTCTGAACGGGTGTCTGTTGGCGTTTCTTATCTTAATCAGAGGTAAAACGTTTAAACGGCTTTTATCAATGGCTTTTATTTAGCGACATTTTTGATGTATGCACATTATCTTTTAACTTTTTAGCCTCCATATAGGTGTTATCCATTTACCTTATTTCAATGGCGGACTTATTTTTGCTGCCAGTTGTTAATTATATCTTCTGCACATGCTTAACAATATTTATCCGCTTTTATCCCTAATGCCTTTTCTTCGCAAAGTTTTACTGTACGTTTTACTGTAGTCGAAAACACAATATCCGTGCTTGATCTCTGCAATCCGTACTTATCCGCACTTATCCATATTTATAGAAGTTTTATCTGGATTATCCATTGTCACGTTAATAAGTTTTCGATGCCTTTTGGTTATTTGAATAATCATCAACACAATTTTCACGCTTATACATGCTTGTATCATTTTTTATCCAGTTTTATCCGTTGTAAATCAAAGTAATTCCTAACCCTGGTTTTGTTTTTAATTATCAAAAACACATTTTTCGCGTGTAAGTTTTGAATTTGATTTTAATCCATTTTTATCCAGTTGTATCCGTAGTCAATTAAGCCAATTCCAAAACATTTCCGGTTTTTTTAACATCATAAAATGTTTTTTTGCGTAAATACATTGTTGTATCCATTTTTATCCAGCTTTATTCTTTGTCAATTAAACAATTTTTATCAACTTTTAAGCGTTTTTCATATTCATAAAGACATTATTCGCTATTATACATGCCTGTATCCATTTTTATCCGCATAAATTCGTTGTAAATTAAACTAATTCCAGATCCTTTTCAAGTTTTCTTTTTTTTTAATATCATCTGCTGTCAATGTAAGGAATCGTAGACTTTATAGCGATTCACAACTGCTAACAACAAATCTATCCGCTGTTTCCTTATTTATTCACAATTTTTAGCAACTTTCTCGTCAAGTTGCGCCGCAAAACTGACCAAATTTAGACGCTGCGTCCTGTTTTTGCACTGAATTGCCAGCGCAAACGTGAGTTTGGCTACTAACGTCATCGCATTGTGCGCAAGTACGCATTATTCACGCTCATTCGATTTGAGCAGCTTTAATTTGCATAGCTTTAAAACATTCATCTTTGTTTTGCATTCAGTTAAGAGCCTGTCAATTGTAACCAAGCAATTCTTTTTCTTTTGACTTAAAATTCCGAAACTATCAACTTAAAGTGACGAATGTGTAAGCCATTCTTTTCTAAAATGAATGTTTGTTATATTACGCAGCAAATAATTTGAAAGTATTGGGATAAGACATTGATATGACTCGTACACGTGACTCAACCTTATCCGCATTTATCTAGCTCTAAATATAAAAAGTGGGTCTGCCTTTATAGCTCAACTGTCAATAAATGGAAAGGTAGGCATTTTACTCAAAGCTTTAACAGTTGCAGTTACACGCGATCCGGTTTTATCCGATTTTATCCGATCTTATCCGTTATATCCTAATTCTAATTTACCATTTTTAATGAATTTTCACGCTTTATCAAACATATTTTGACCATTTAAACTAAAATGTAATCTTTGGCTCGTGACTCTACATTATCTGCATTTATCCGGCTCGAATCACAAAAAGTGGGTCCGCCTTTAAAGCTCAACTCTCAGTAATGGCAAAAATATGAGTTTTCCTAATAGCTTTAATAGTATCAAGGTACACGTGCGCTTTGTTGCTTTATCCGGATCATATCCGGCTTTATCCGATTTTTTTCCCAGTATTATCCGTTTTATCCGAACTTCTAATTTTTCATTTTTAATGTATTTTCATGCCTTATCAAATATGCGTTGATCATTTAAACTTATATATAAGCATTTTATGCATACATTTTGTTCAACTCCTTGGATTTCAGCCTAATCCCAGCAAGAGTTTTGCGGCGCACGATTATCGTGCATTTAAAACCTGATGCACATTGGCAGCCCCCAATGAAATGCCAACTGCTAACTCCAACGTTTTTCTTTTGTTGTTTCAAGCTTAAGACGAGCCAAAATGAAAGGACTTCTTCTCCATATTTAAAATTAAAAAAATAAAGTTTCAAGCATTTCTTGGTCATATATTTTAAATACGAAAATTTACCCAAGGGAGACGAGCCGTGTGCACATAGACACACACGTGCACACACACACGGGGTGGCTGCTCACTTTATGCGAAGGCCGCCATAAAGAAGAAACGAACGGTAAAACACGTTAAAAGGTAAAACGTGAAGGCAGCAACAACAAGAACAACAACAACAAGAACAAAAAGGCAAACGACGGCAGCTTCATTTAGGCTTTGGCCCCAGCCTAAGTCCCTGCTCCACATATGCATAACCAAATGTGCACGTGTGTGTGCGTGTGTGTGGGTTGTGTGTGTGGTTGGCAGCCGGGTCAGTTGAGTGTGCCAGTGTGCGAGTGTGCGCTGCGTTGCTTGTTGCTACTTATGTTTAAGCTTTGTATTTAAGCTTTTTGCACGATTTCCTCTAACAAATGGATTTTCACTTGTTGCCCCCATCTATACAGATGCACGTGCTTATATGTATGTATATATATATATATGAATATATATATGTATATAATATGTGATATATATGCACATGTGTGTGTGTATATATTATATAATCTGTGTGTCCTTGTTGTCATGCTCGTTTCTCTGGATGCCCTTCACGGATCTCTTCGGTCGGCGCTTGCTGCCACACGTTTTGCTGCTAACAAATAATTTAATTTCTTTTGGGGCATCTTTGCTGAGCACCCGTGTGTGCGTGTGTGTGTGGCTGTGTGTGTGTGTAAGAACTTGGGGAACAAGTTTAAGAGCCAAGTCGCATTTGTGGCTTTGACTGTGCACTTGTCGATGGCCGCAACAAAATACGCATTCGCATTTCCAGTACACAGTTCATAGTTGATATTAATTTAATTTAATCTAGTTTAATATTATTTATTTTTTTATTAGGTATAATTTTTTATTTATTTTTTGTTTATTTATTTTTATTCATTTTTTACTGTTAATTATTTATTCATTTTTTATTTATTTAATTTGTTATTTATTATTATTTTTTATTTATCATTGTTCTTTGTTTATTTTAATTGTTTTATTATTTATTTTTTATTGTTTATATTATAACATTTATTTATTTCTATTTATAATAAAGTATTTATTATTTATTATTCATTGACTATTAATTGTTTATTATTTGTTATTGATTATTTATTATTTGCATTATATTTATTATTTATTTATATAACAATAGCCAGGATCGTATTGAATCTGTTCAGAAGCGATTTCTGCTTTTTGCCTTACGAGGTTTAAATTGGGACCCTAATCTTCGGTTGCCATCCTATTCCAGCAGGCTGCTTCTTCTTAATCTTCCGTCGTTAACCAACCGTAGGACAATTCTCGGTGTTGTCTTTCTACATAAGTTGGTTGTTGGCGATATAGATTCTCCTTTTCTGCTAGGGCGTCTTCAATTCTCTGTTCCGGCTAGACCAACCAGAAATTACCGCCCCTCATTCCTATCGACGTGCACAACAGACTACGCTATGCACAATCCTTTTCGCGTGCTATGTACAAATTGCAATAGTTTGCATCACGTTTTCTCTACCGAACTTTCTCTACCCCTAATAAAATCGTTGCTTTCGGGATACCTTCGGGAAGTCACTGACCATTCCCAGCTATGAGCAGGGGCATAGCTTGCCGGACAGGCTGTAAATTTTCCCCCACCGGGTCGGTGATTTCCCATTACATTCCCAATACTATCTCTTTATCCTATCTACCTAACACTCTGTATATCTAGCATACAATTCTTTACTTTATTAACAATCTTCTTACATTCTTTTCTCCTATTTATGGTATATTCTTAAATAATGTAGCAAATTAAGCTCTAATATCGTCACTGACAAAATTGGCTGTGAAAAGGGGCACAGCTGGCCGGACAGGCAAATAAAGCACCTCCATCGGTCGGTGATGCTATTAGAAATGTGTGTTCTCTATCTAATTTTCATAATTGTATAGATGTATAGTGTATTAAATAATTAGGAAGACACTCGTTTTGTCGACCACTAATAAATAAATAAATAAATAATAGAGATATTATAAAATAAAAAGCCTAAAAGCCCAAGCAGAATACAAAAATGTCCAATATTTATATTTTCCCTTTCCTTCCGCTATGCCCCTTTTCAAAACAATGTGACTTGGGAGTATTATGTACATAATGAAGAACAACAAAGGCAGCAAAAAGTTATAGAGAAAGAGAAGGAAAACTTGTTATAGATTAGAGCGAAAAGGGAGATACACAAAAATCAGTCAAAGTTATGCAATGAATTTTGACCAAGTTATGGAGGTGGGAAATTTTGAACTATGTCTATGTAGGATATTTGAGGGTACCAGATTTAGATGCCAAATTGATTTGGAGGCCAAACAATAAACAAAAAACCAAACCTCGTCCAAGTCGGATGAGATTTGACAAAGTTATGGGGATGGGAAATTTAGACCTATGTCTATATAGGATATTTGAGAGTCCCATTTTCATATGAGTTTCGACCAAGAATAGTGTTGCCAAATTTAGATGCCAGATTTATCTAGAGGCCAAACCATGAACAAAAAGCCAAACCTTCAACTCCTCCAAGTCGGATGAGATTTGACAAAGCTATGGGGGTGGAAAGTTTCGACCTATGTCTATATAGAATATTTGAGGGTACTATTATTACATGCATTTTGACCAAGAATAAAGTTGGCCCTCAAATGAATTTGAACAAAGAACTTTGAAAATGAGTTGGGGGCCGATCGGATGTTAAACAAAAAAGTTTCATGAAAAACGTATTTAGTGAGTTTTCGAAACATGCGAGTAGAATTTCCCGATAGCCCATCTTAACGTGCACCGTCATCACATATGGTAACTATAGTGAAAATCAGTCAGTCAGGACAAACAGTTTTATGTACATATACAGATTAGCCTGATGTTGATCAGATGCTGCTCAGATGGAAGAGCAGAGTTTGGTATTCAAAGTTAAAAATGGGGAACTGCATAGTTTAAAGGCAAATGTCTCAGGCATGTCTCTGGGGAACTGAGTTTCAAGTATTTTAGTTCCATGTTTGGTTTGTCATGTATCATAAAAGTGTTATAAAGTTATAAAGTGTTATATTTTTTCTACCAAAACTAGAGAACAATTTACAAGTTGCGCTCTAAGTTTCAAATCTAACTAACAATACTGAGACTGTGCTGTGGCTCAATATTCCTTAAAGGTTTTTATAGTTAAATAAATAAATACAGTAGAAAGATATGATTTGCGTTCCGCTGCGGCTGTCATGTCGGGCAATTATTTGAGTTTGTGCTCTGCCTTATGCCGCTAATAAATTTGGATTCCAGTTTTGAATCGGTTTGGTTCAAATGCAGCTTGCAGCCCTGACCTGCATCAAATTGAATTGAACCTAAACTTGATGCAGGCCTTAAACTGTTTTTGTCTGCAAGGCCAAAAAGCTGAAGCAACTCAACAGACAGTTGACAATCAAGACACACACACACACAAGACACACACAGACACAACACACACTTTCTCCCACACACAACCCACTGAAACACCTAAAGTGCAGGCACTTTGCATGTTACCCAACTGAAGGCGACATAACACACAGCCCATCATCATCAGCGTCATCGTCATCGTCATCGTCATCGTCATCGTCATCGTTATCGTTATCGCCAAGATATCGAATTGCAGCGCATATGACGGCAAAATGTCAACTCTAGCCGCAGGCTTTACCAGTTTTTTGTCTGCTTGATTAATTGCAACCTGTGGCGTGCCTGAGCCAGGGCGAGGTGGGCCGAGATCCCAAGTCGGGTAACTGTGCCCTTTGCGTACCTACCCCTCCTGCACCCCCCCCCCCCCCGTACTTCCCTTCAAATGTTATTAATGATGGCAACTCTGGCGGCAGTTCTCAGCCGTTCAGTTAGGCTGCATTTGACATAACTCATACGACGCGTTGTCCGTGCAGCAAACCAGGCGCAGACACAGCACCCATCACACACACACACACAACCACACACACACAGCTGAGATTTATGTACGTAGAGAGAGGAGGGGTAGAGGAGGGGGAGGGGCTGCGTCTCTGTTAGGGCTGTGCTGTATTGACTGATTAATTAGCAGCTCTTAATGCCAGCAGCGAACGAATTGCCGAATTATGAAGCTCCACCGATTAGCATCACACACACACACACACACACACAGACAAGGGGGTGCATGTGTGTGTGTGTGTGTATCTATGCCCTGTCCATAAGCCTTGTCTCTTTGAGCCACTTGCCATGTTTTTACTGTGTGCGTGTAAAGGCCCCGGCAAATAGTCGTCTCACGGGCTAGAAATAAGTTGGGCTTTTCATAGCGTATTTTCATATGCTTTTCACGCCTTTTTCTACTCTTGTAGCTTCTGACTTTCTCTCATTTTTAATATTTCTTAATTTACTATTATTATTATTATTTTTTTAAAGTTGTTTTCCAGTTTTTTGCGACTTCTCTCTTGATCTTGTTCTTTCTCTTTCTCTCTTCTCTTTTGTTCTTGGTCTTGTTCTTGCTCTTGCTCTCGCTCTCGCTCTTCTAGCTTATTTTCTTGCTCTTCCTCTTGCTTTTCCTCTTGCTCTTCCTCTCGCTCTTCTTGCTCATGTTCTTGATCTTCTTCTTGCTCTGGTTCTTGCTCTTGTTCTTGCTCTTGCTCTCGCTCTTCTAGCTCATGTTCTTGCTCTTCCTCTTGCTCTTGCTCTCGCTCTTCTAGCTCTTCCTCTTGTTCTTTCTCTTGCTCTTCGTATTGTTCTTGCTCATGTTCTTGCTCATGTCGTTGCTCTTCCTCTCGCTCTTCTTGCTCTTGTTCTTGATCTTCTTGTTGCTCTTGTTCTTGCTCTTCTTCTTGCTCTGGTTCTTGCACTTGTTCTTGCTCTTGCTCTCGCTCTTCTAACTCATGTTCTTGCTCTTCCTCTTGCTCTTGCTCTCGCTCTTCTAGCTCTTCCTCTTGCTCTTGCTCTTCGTCTTGTTCTTGCTCATGTTCTTGCTCTTCCTCTCGCTCTTCTTTCTCATGCTCTTGATCTTCTTGTTGCTCTTGTTCTTGCTCTTCTTCTTGCTCTGGTTCTTGCACTTGTTCTTGCTCTTGCTCTCGCTCTTCTAACTCATGTTCTTGCTCTTCCTCTTGCTCTTGCTCTCGCTCTTCTAGCTCTTCCTCTTGCTTTTGCTCTTCGTCTTGTTCTTGCTCATGTTCTTGCTCTTCCTCTCGCTCTTTTTTCTCATGTTCTTGATCTTCTTGTTGCTCTTGTTCTTGCTCTTCTTCTTGCTCTGGTTCTTGCTCTGGTTCTTGCTCTTGCTCTCGCTCTTCTAGCTCATGTTCTTGCTCTTCCTCTTGCTCTTGCTCTCGCTCTTCTAGCTCATGTTCTTGCTCTTCCTCTTGCTCTTCCTCTCGCTCTTGCTCTTGCTCTTCGTCTTGTTCTTGCTCATGTTCTTGCTCTTCCTCTCGCTCTTCTTGCTCATGTTCTTGCTCTTGTTCTTGATCTTCTTCTTGCTCTGGTTCTTGCTCTGGTTCTTGCTCTTGTTCTTGCTCTTCTAGCTCATGTTCTTGCTCTTCCTCTTGCTCTTGCTCTCGCTCTTCTAGCTCATGTTCTTGCTCTTCCTCTTGCTCTTTCTCTCGCTATTCTAGCTCTTCCTCTTGCTCTTGCTCATGCTCTTCGTCTTGTTCTTGCTCATGTCCTTGCTCTTCCTCTCGCTCTTCTTGCTCATGTTCTTGCTCTTGTTCTTGATCTTCTTGTTGCTCTTGTTCTTGCTCTGGTTCTTGCTCTTGTTCTTGCTCTTCTAGCTCATGTTCTTGCTCTTCCTCTTGCTCTTGCTCTCGCTCTTCTAGCTCATGTTCTTGCTCTTCCTCTTGCTCTTGCTCATGCTCCTCGTCTTGTTCTTGCTCATGTCCTTGCTCTCCCTCTCGCTCTTCTTGCTCATGTTCTTGCTCTTGTTCTTGATCTTCTTGTTGCTCTTGTTCTTGCCCTGGTTCTTGCTCTTGTTCTTGCTCTTCTAGCTCATGTTCTTGCTCTTCCTCTTGCTCTTGCTCTCGCTCTTCTAGCTCATGTTCTTGCTCTTCCTCTTGCTCTTGCTCTTGCTCTTCGTCTTGTTCTTGCTCATGTTCTTGCTCTTCCTCTCGCTCTTCTTGCTCATGTTCTTGCTCTTGTTCTTGATCTTCTTGTTGCTCTTGTTCTTGCTCTTGTCCGTTCCCTTTTTACCGCTTCTTTGTCTGTTCTCCTTCCTATATTTTGACTTATTTCGCCTTTCTTTTTATTCTGGTCTTTTTTTCTTAATCTCACATTTTCCTTGTTCCGACTTTGCCTTTTTTTCACTCTTTTCGCCTGGAATTTTTATTTATTTATCCTGCTCCAACTGTTTCTTTGCTTTCTTCAATTTCTTTTGTTTTACATTCTGATTGGACTTTTTAGTATTTTTCTTATTTTATTCTTTTCTTATTTGATGCTTGCATTTCATCTGAATTGCCTGTCTACTCAGCCAGAAGTCGGACCAAACTCTTTTCAAAATCCTACCTAAAGCGATTCGCCACATTAAGAAAATCTATTTCTTAAAACAATCCGTAGTTTTTCTAAAACGTTAAACAAATGTTTGAAAAATTAAAACTTTTCTTCTTAAAAGTAGAACATAAATGTAGAAAAACTAATATGTAAAAAATGTTCTTTATATTAGAATATTGTTCTGAAACGCAAAAGAATTATTTCAAAAGTAGAAAATACTTTTGAAGAATTTAAAATTGTACCTTTTCTTCATATGAAAATAAATTTTATAAAATGATGAAACATTTTCAACTTTTCTCGACTTAAAAAAATTTAGAGTGCAATTTCTTTATGTTTTTCTCATCCAACTTTCACTTCTACGTCTGCAGCCACGACTTCGATGTTTTTTTCGATTCTTTGCCTGGAAGAGAGCATCATTCTTCTACTCTCTTTCTCTCTTTCTCTATCTCTCTCCTTCTCTCTCTCTCTCTATTTCCCTATCTCTATCTCCTGCTCTCACTCTTTCTATATATCTATCTCTTCTCCTTCTCTCTACATCTCTTCTTGCCTTCTGATTTTTCTCTTTCTCTCTCTTTCTTTGCTCTCTGATTTCTCTGTCTTTCTTTCGACCTCATTTGTCGTTGTTTAATTCAAATTTGTGCAAATCAATTGGTTTAGTTTTTACGGGCTTTTATTAAATGTTGATTAACTATTTAGTTTGGCATTTTCGACACACGCACACACACACACGCACACACACACCTCAATATATATGGGCAAACCAATAAAGCGCTCGAAGCTGAGTTCATAGCTCGACAGTTGGTTGTGTTCTGGGAGGGGCGGCTGATTTATGGGCATGTGCCTCAAAGCACCGACCTGACCTGACCCGGCGCGACCCGGCTCGACTCGACCTGAACCTGCGCCTGCACCTGCAGCCAAAGCTGCGAAAAGTGTGTGAACTGGACCAGGACCTGAACCTGAAGCTGGACCCAAACATATGCCGCTGCAAACGTTGCTTAATAAGTTTTAGCTAAGCGGGCGAGGTTGGCAGGGCGCAGGGGCTAGGGGGCTAGAAACTACTCGTAAAGCCAAACGATTCGCGTTCGCCTTTTGCTCTTTTGAGATTTATTGACATATAAATTTAATGCCTAGCCCCGACCAAGGGCCAAGCTGAACGCCGGATGAGCAAAGTTTAGGAGCAGTTGATTGAATGCGCTTTACTGCTTGGATTTCCGTTCGTAAATTGAAAAAAAATATAGTTATACTATATATATAGATAGGTAGATATATATATATACATATATGCCGAGCGCTGAGGCTGAAGGCACGCATTGGCATAAAGTCGGCAAATGGCACAGATTTTGTATTTAGTTTAGGCAGAAGCTATTTTAATTTCCAATTTCCCAGCATGCATAGCCGGGCATTATTGAAAGCAAGGACGCCAACAACAGGCACTGCAGCACATTCAGACAATTTACCATGCCAATCACACAAGCAAGCAGCAAAAAGTTCTCCCATCGGGAGTGCACCACCGACGGATACCCTGCACACTCACGCAGCAAGCTGCGCTTCTGCATTCTTGATCGGTGCTTAGAGTACGATTTTTATGTATTTTACAGTGCATTCAGGTTGGCATTCAATTATGTGTACATACCAAAGCGCAAGGCACTACATTTAAATACTCTATTTTGTCCAATTTTGGGTAGCACGGGGAAAGGTATCTGAAACGTGAAATATTTGTAATCTGTATATACCATAGTCGTATATACATACCATATTTGCGGTACTTAGCTCTTATGATTTTCCAGTCGTGCTTAAAAAATCATAGCTCAAAATTAATTGGTATCATTATTATGAAGATGAGAAATGAGAATGAGAAATCGAAGAAAATTGTGATAAAACTAGATGCTGCGTATTATCTAGTTGAATATATATGTCAATGAGTTCATATAGGGCTGGTTAAGATTAGTCTTTAGTTTCTCGAGGAAAGAGTAGCATATTTACTATATAAGTTAAAAATATACATTAAAAAAACGGAAAACAATTCTGATAGGTGAAATGTTTAATTCTCGAGGCAAATTCAAGTGCACCTCAATTCTAAATCTCTTTAATTTTCATAGTTTTGCCTATTTGTTGCGCATTTTACCACAACTAAGCTGCGCAAAAAAAGTTATTAGCTCTCAGTTTCATGAGGCTAAAGGAAATTTGCTGAAGCTGCTCGTCAGAAAACTTGAAGATTTCAACTTTATATAATTTGTACACAAATTAGGTATTAATTAAGCAACTTTCTACGAGCTTTACAGCACAGAGAATAGCTTTTATATTTGAGAGATATTAATAATGTTTTATTCTCAGAGTTGCTTAACTCGGAAGGGATTAAGTTTGATATTCGAGGATAAATAATCATTTCTTAACGATTTTTATATAATTTACTGCTTAGTTGAATAATATTCTCAGGAGTTGCTTTGCTCCAAAGGGATAAACTTGGATATTTGAGGAAAACAAATCATTTTTCAATAAGTTTTATACAATTTGGCGGTTAATTGAATATTATTCTCACAGTTGAATTGCTTTGAAGGGATTAACTGGAATGTATCTGTGTATCAATAATAACTTTTGAATAACCATTTAAACCATTTTCTGATTAGTTGAACGAGATTCACAAGAGTTGTTTCACTTTCATGGAGACTAGCTTTGATATTTGAGGCATTATAATCATTTCTTAATCATTTTCATAGCACTTTCTGTGAAGTTAAATAATATTCTCAGAATTGCGCAACTCCAAGGAGATTAGCTTTGATAGTTGAGTAACACTTGTATACAATTTTGTGGTTAATTGATTAATATTCGCTGAGTTAACTAGCGCGAAAGGGATTAACTTTATTATTTGAAGAAACTTGAAGATTTTTCTAGTCGGTTGAACAACATACACAAGAGTTGTTTTACTTCGATGGGATTAACTTTGATATTTGCGAATTAATCAAGATATTCGAGTAGTTTTTAATACAATTCTGTGATTAATTAAATACAATTTGGCGAGTTGTTTAACTTCGAAGGTTTTAAGCGCGAAGATAGGCTCCAAAATTGTTTTTTATTTGCACAAAACTTTTGTTTTTAAGCTGTCCGCAGCTACACAGCGTAACAACTCTTAGCACACTTGATGTAAGTACAGGGTATGCGGATAAAAAACAGACTCCAACGAGCAAAAAGATAAAAAAAAAACGATTGCAATTTCCTGTGGCGCAGGTTTCACTTTCCTCTCCATATATACATATATATATATATATATATATATATATATATATATTTTGTATAGAAATCCCAGCGCCTGATTTGTTGTGCTCCTTTCTGTGTATTTGGTTGTTGTTGTTGTTGTCGTTGCCGTTGTTATTGCGCACACTTTTTGATTAGCATCAAATTATGGGTCACATATTCGTTGGCACACATTCGATTTGGCATTGGCGACACAACAATAGCCAGAATCCAGGAGTCGACTTACCATTGCCATCAGCCTCATCATGACTGCAATCATCGTCAGCATGGCGCCGAGAATCATCTGGCGTGCACTTGTTCAATGTCGGCGCAATAAAAACTGCAATATTTCTTTAGCTCGCGCTGAATGTCGCTGCGTGGCCTTCACCTTGACGTCTGTTGCCAGAATAGACAGGAATCTGAAATCTTTTTCAACATTAGTTTGAATCTTTTTTTGCAGTCAGCAGAGCCAGCTGCACTCCACCCCCCCACGTACACACATCGTACTTTGCACGCTCGCACATTCGCATTCAACCCAAGCCGAATCGCAACGCATCGCAGCGTATCGCATGCCATCCAATGGGTTGGACTGGTGGCAAACACGAACGGCTGCTGTTGCTGTTGCCATAGAGCTGGCGCATCACATTGTCAACCTCACTTATGAAATATGCCGGCTACCAGGGCTACCAGGAGCGCAGTTCGTTGTGTTCGTGAATGCAGCAGCGGTAAATGAGTTATTCGCCGCAAATCGCCGTTATTTTGCGCTTGCTATCGCGCCAAATATCGCAAACTGAACCGATTCAGTGAACCGAGTTGCATTCAGTTCTATCTACATGTACATTTTTGTTCACAAATATACATATTTTCTTTGCATATTAGAAAGTGTGTTAGATTTACAGAAATTGCCCTGCGTTACCTGGCTTAAACAGGCAATGTGTTGATTAAATTGCTTGTATACTTCCGAAATGGAAGTTCAAATTCGAAGCTAATTTTTCAGCAAATTTATTGATTTAAAATTGTAAAACTGAGAAGACTGAAGAGACTGAGAAGTCTATCTAAAATTTGGTACTCTTTGCATACTTTTAAGCTAGTAATCTTTCAAAAACATTTTGAAACTTTTTCAAGCCAAAGGAAAGTACGAGACTTCCCTGAATAATATTATTAATAATATTCGTCTTAGTATTATTGTTTCTGTTGCTATTATTATAATATTGTTATTATTGTTATCATTAAGTATTAGTTGAATCATTTTTATTAATAATGTCATTATTATCCTTATTATTATTAATAATGAAAAAAAGTAATAATAATAAAAATAATAATAATAATAGTAATAAATTAATAATAATATTAAACAAAATAATGATGGTAATACAAATCATTATTATTTTTAATAAATTGTCAATTATTAAAAGGACTATCAACATGAAAAAGTTGTTGACAGCTTTGACAACCACACAAATTCTCTAAATAGTTTACTGTTCTGCTCCAATCAAGAAATTGTTGAATTTAAGCCCTAAGAAAAACAGAAAATTATCGACATAAATCACTTTATATTCATTTTTATAATTATTAATATGTTTGCATAATGTTTGTTATTTTTATTAATCCATTATTAATTAATTAAGATGAAAATGAAAAGTGAGTTGGAATCGTTTGCAAGCCCGAATCCCTGGACGGCCAATGCAGTCCGCGCCTGTGCACTTGCCGTCTCCACAAATTCATAGGTAAAGCTGCAGGGGGACAGATGGGGGCAGATGGGGACAGATGGGGACAGTGCGAAACGACAACGACTCGAAATCGAATTGAGTCTCTTTGGCCATGAATCACAAACAAATACCGCGACATTGCCGGCAGCGCAGCCTCAAACTACAACCACCCTGAATCTATAACAATTCCATATATCCGACGCACACACATACAGACACACAGGCACACAGACACACATGTGCGACACACACACACACTCACATACAGCTACCTGCGCAACAGCTACTCTCGGCTCGGCCCCTCTTACGAAACGGTTCAATGCAGTTGAGTTCAGTAAATATTATGTTAAATTGAGATAATTTGTTGCCTGATACTCTCGCCACAGAAAAAATGAGAGACTAATAGAAAGGGAAAGCAAAAGATGCAGACAGAGATAGACAGAGTCTGTGGCGAGCTGTCGTAGTTCGTATACAATGTCATGCGGCAGAACGAGGGCGCGAATGTTAGAGTGGGTGAGCGTGATAAGGAGAGGGGAGGGGCAGACAGTCAGGCAGACATGCAGGCAGGCAGGCAGGCAGGCAGGCGTGCTGGCAAGGACAGATTTTCATTTAAATTTGTTCGCGTTTTATAGTCGCAAATTTTTGCTCGATTTTGCAAATTTTCTAGATTTCTATCGTAATTGGCGGCTTGTTGTGTCCCATTCACAATGAGACTCCAACCCGCAGCGCCTTCCCTTTTCCCCCTGCCAAATAGAGCCGGAAGTACGAGTATCCGTATCCGTATCCCAGTCGCATTTCGCCATGACTATTGCGACTTAACGGAAGGGGGCGTGGCGAAGCACACACTGTTGCATATTATATTCGAGCATTTCACGTATTTCGTAGCATACTTTTAAGCGTAAAACCCCAACAAAAAGAGATTACATTTTGGCTGTGACCGAGTGGCATATATTCTATATCTTAACCGCTTTTTCATCCAGCTGCATTTCACTAGGCATAATGGCAAATGCAAATCGAAAGCTATCGATTTTAGGCAAATTCGATAGCATCGATAGCTATCAAGTTTGGGAATTTCGGCAATGGAAGTTAGCGTATGATATAAAATATGTAAGATATACGAGAATCCAGACGTCAAATTTAGCATCTGTGGCATTTGTAACCCTTGCAACATTATGTAAGAGCAGGCATTTAAAATCGATTATTATCGATTTTAGAGAATCATGGTGAAGCGAATTTTCGTACAACTTATTAAACTTAAACTCCGATGCGATGATGGTATAAAACAATGGCTGTCTTATTAACCACATCTCAAGCTCTTGAAATCCCACTGATAAGAGTCGATCAATTTTTATCGATTATATGAAGAAAGAGGAAATATTGCAATAAATCGATCTAAAACATGAACTCAAGCTGCGTATGTGAAATAATATCAAAACAAAATCTTGTTAGCAATCGATTTGTATCGATTTCGGAATAAAGGAGAAACATCGAACAAATAAATTAGGTAAAAGACTTACGACTGCCGAGAGTCTCCAGGTCTGTGAGCTCAACGCATTCGGACAGCGGCATCTAGAGCTATTTACTATATAGTATTCTACAGTCTTGTCGAAGTCGAAGACGTGTCTCATAGTTTCTTCACAATACCCTGTTTAAATGGGTATTATTTAATTTTGAACCAAACGTTTTTAATCATAATATTTACAAAGATGTTGTCTGACCAGGGGATTTTCAATTAGCTCACCGACTAGCAGCTTTACACTACACAATTTGCTTATGCACTGCATACGGGGCTTAAGGGCTAAGTGAAGGCTGAAGGCAGGTGTAGGGGGCTGTGCGGGGGCTGTGTGGGTAATTTGGATACTTTGTGCAAGCCATGTGGGCCCAAATGTGAACGTTGCATATTTCGTAGCATACTTTTGTGGGCTTCAGCATACGTCGAGGCGTTAAATTGTATAAACAACTAGTTAACAGTGGATGACGAGGAGACGGGGGTGCGGGGTGGCTTTGGCTTTGGTGGGGTTACGGGCAGCACGTCTCGAAGTCAGTGACCCAAAAGTGTGCCAAGCCAAAAACCCCCAGCCGATGCGAAGCCCGCAATCATAATAAATTGTAGGGCCAGCGTCAGTCGTGTGTATAAAATAGTCATTAAAAATACATGGCTTACAGGGTGTGAGGCGAGGGGCTTGCGGTGGGGTTAGTTGCTGGTAAGTTACACACACAGACTACACACACACTCACACACACACACACACACACACACACAGCAGAAGAACACACACATGTGTCTTTATACAATGCAATTAATTGTTTTGTTTATCATGTTTATCAGACGCTTCACGCTTGATTTGGCCAACAAAAAGGTTCGGGCAGCGCGTCCAGCGCCTAGTTGTCCACTTGGCCATTAGTTGTCATTGCTTATGGACCCAACCATACACAAATGCTATACCGAAACATCCACTCCCCTGTCCTCTGGCCGACCACAAAGTGGCACCGAATAAAGATGCTTTGAGCATTGCGTTCATTCGATTAAATAACTCATCACCGAAAACGGTTCATTGATTATTCGCTTTTTCGATATTTGATTTGGGCTTAAGCCAAACAAAAATAAGGAACAAATAGTTTGTGTTTTCTTTGGTAAATCCTGAAATGATGGTAAATGCTTAAAAGGAAGGCAAATGTTTTAAGCCGAAAAGTGTTTCATTTCAAGGGAAAAAAAGCTAAAGAGAGCTGTTCCAACTAACCTGTCAGTGATTTCTTTGAGAACATATTAGGCCCAAAAGAGCTGTTCCCGAAAACGGTTCAAACGGTTAGAATTTCACCAATTTTTTATTGCATACTTTTTGCAACGGCTTTAGAAACTATCTATAACCGAAAATCAAAAATAAAAATTGTGTACCATTAAATTTATTATCTTTCGTGAAAAATTAATAAGAAAAAAACAACACTGAGCCAAACAACATTGGGCATGGATGTTAGTGCATCCACGCCCTCCCAACCGAGAGAGCTGCGACCAGAATTTGCTAAAATGATGAGAATTGCTGGCGCTACACCTGCGGAAATCGTGAAATGATTTCCTTAAATACTGTAAGTGCTTCAAATACTGCAATTAAGTGCAGTTGTAGCAATTTTGCAGCAACGACATGCACATTGACGTC